CTATGACCATGCCCCCCCCCCATTCCACATGCGATGGCCCGGTGCTGACTGTTTGGAATGCCGTGTCACATGGGCGTCACATGACTGTTTCTCCCTTCTTCCCCCTGCCTCATGCACTCACTGTAGGTATACCTATGTTCCATGTGAGTATCTCAGCATCAGCCTCTGACACATGATCACAGTGCCGTTTCTGGTGTGCTGATGTGCTCTACGGGCCGAGGGGGATCCGGGATCTTTCTGGGGAAGGTTTTGGATCTCCGGGTGAGAGACCCGAGGCAGAGTTTTTTTTCCCTCGATCCTGACGCTCTGTCCGACCATCCTGGCCAATCCCCTCCCTCCCCGCTGAGCTTTGCAGCTACGCAGCCAGAAAGCGAGCTGTCGATCATGCGTTTGTCTGGACCCACATACGCAGCGCTCTTCCTGAAATTCCATGCCTTGTGTTCCTTCCCCGCAGTTGGAGTACAGACCCCAGCCCCGGTAATGTGCTTAAGGGTGTAAAAACATGGCCTGTGTGAGAGCTGGCTCGGGTTCGGGTAAACGGGGGAGTGTGGGCCTGTCTGACGCTAACCGCTAAGTGCTCTGTGCTCTGTGAAGATCACTGCTGGTTTGTTCCCACAGCGGTTTATCAGCTCTTTCTGCAGCTGTTTTAACATGGGTTTTCTGCCAATTTGATCCCTCTGAAGACCTTTTCTAATGCAGCTAACAGCGTGGTTTCTGCTCGCTGCTGCTATCGCTGTAACTGTGACCCCTCCTGACCTTATTTATCTGACGCTTCCCCCACAGTTACGAGAAACGGCTGTACTGAAAGCGGAGAGAATGCACTGACAAGGGCCGCCGCTGGGGCCACGAGCACAACCGTGCCCAGACAGAACGGACACCTCTGAATAGCTTTTCACTACAGACTCGCACAATCTGCGACCTGCGGATAATCAGGGCTGGGGCGCCTCTCCCACCCCTCCGGTGTCACCCCCGAGACACACGTTAAGGCTTACCCAAAGGAAACACCACCATAATCAGCCACCAAAACAACGACGCCGCACCCTGCGTCCTGGCAACCCCCTGTGTTAGTGGCTTTAAATGCTACATGGTGTGTGGCTGCATTTCCCATGATGCCGTGCGACAGCCGGACATTGCCTCGTGGCTGGTGGGCTCTCGACTGCCCCGGCCCGGATACAGATGTCCTCTCCCTGGCTTTGTGTGTGATGTCACTCTCTACCTGGTGATATCGTCCTGGGCCTCGGTGCCATTCTCTGCACTTCCTTGCAAATACGGGTGATGAGACTGAGAATGTTTGCTCACGTTTCCCCCCCACCCCCCCCCCCCATACCTAGCCCCCTTCTGCCCATTTGCTGGAGCTTTTTCATTAACCAATCTGCGAACTCCTCCACTATAAAGGGTCACCCCCCCCCCCTTTTCCTTGAGGATTTAATTTGAAGGACTCTTTGACATTGTACTTTATGGCACAAAAAGGAAACAAAATCAAACATATGCACACATCACAGAATTGTCCAAGTCTACATAACGTGTTTCATCCTCCAGGTGTGTATGTGGGGGTTTGGGGGGAGCCGTGACACCTGGGTGCTCCTGGGGGGTCAGGAGTGACAGGGCACTAACCGAATGCTCCTACCATGGTGTTTCAAATGATTATATTATAAAATTTGTTCATCCTTTCTTTGCGTAACTCTTCTTCTGGTAGTTCCCTCTAGTGTTGTTTGCACTAGCTTTGGTTTATTTTCATCCCCCTTTTATTATGTGTGTCATGTTTGTGGTTGTGGCACTGCTAGACTCCATCATCACACTGGGGTTGCTGCGGAGCTCTGTGTTCCATCCATCCATCCACTGTCCAACCCGCTTATCCTACTGGGTCGCGGGGGGTCCGGAGCCTATCCCGGAACCAATGGGCACGGAGCTCTGTGTTTTGTAGCTTAAACAGAACGTGACGTTTCCAGCTTTCATTTTTCGGTGGTTTTAGCTGACCGTGTTGGCACTTTGCTGGCGCCTGCTGTAGACTTAGCGGCCAATAGCAGGGGGAGCAGTGTCCCGTAGGGGGCTCTGCTCTCGACCGGCTCTGTTTTTGTTGCCCCGACCAGAACAGGACACGCGTCAGCAATGATACAATCTTTTCATTTAGTTACAGTGTCAGATCACATTTAAGGGCTCCGGCTGCAGTCTGATCCCGCTGCGCGTGTCAGTGTGGGACTCAGCAGCCTCAACCTTCCCAAGACCGACCGTCTTGCTGTCTCACAAGCTTCTTTTTCCGTTTCCGCTGCATAGGTCTGTTTGTCGTCCAGCTTCATGGGTCGGCTTTTATGCTTTTTTTACACTGTATATCATGTCTCCACTTATGTCCTGTCTTTCTTTAGACTGAATCTTATATATTGTAAAAAAAAAAATAAAGTCCCCTTTTTAAAACTACTTCAGCTGCAGCCACATTAAGCTGGTGTCTCTTTTTTAACCAAACTGCTTTTTAACCAAACTGTGACATGTTTATATAATTCTTATTAAACCTGGCCAGCATATCAGTCCTTAGTTTTCCACAAAATAAAAATGTAGTTGAGGTACAACAATAATTCCATCCGCACACTTATTGCTCCACTATTTCCGCACTTGTGTATAACTTCCATGCGACTGCCAGTGCTTGTGTTCAGCCAATCAGCAAGTTTATCGCTGTAAGCCCCTCCCCAAGTTGGTGTTCGAAGGAAAAGTACCTCGTCGGTGTCCGAATTCTGCTCACCATAACTACAACTGTTCTTCCTCTACTCTTTTGTTATCGATTGCTGATCCGTGAAAGCCTTTTTGTTTGGAGGTGTAATGATGTTATCCTACACTTTGGATAAAAAATACATAACATGTACAATGTAATAGCATCCCATTAAGTGTGCACACAAGCTATATGTACTGCCTCGGACCGCAAGTAATTAAGAAGATACATGCAGTTTCACTCCATTTACAAGATAATACTGTTGGTGCTGGACGTTTTTGAGATGTGGAGAGATTCGTGTGTGGAAAAACAAGGGTTATTATCCTGAGGAGCAGGAGTTGTCTAATAGATGACAGGTTAATCAGGTGGAACACCATGCCATGCTTAATGCGTGTTCTTCCAGACAAAGGGAGGAACTGGGACTCACTAACTCACGGGAGTTCCTGGAGCACAGGGAAGCCCATGCTTTACAGCAGACTGCAGTGTTTTATTTTTATTAAAATAATAGTAAATGATGCCTGACACGGCTACGGTCTAAATTTTAGGGAGGACTCAGCGGCCCTGTTTACACATGGTTTTAAAATGCGTATTGAGCGAACGGATTATGAGCTGACAGCACAGACACCTCCCCGTTTACGCCTGTGTCTATCATGCCTCTCCAGAGTGTCCAGCTTATTTCGTTACTGCCCCGCGCACAGTTACTGTAACGTCCTTGTCTGGGACTCATCCAGGACGCATTAGCGTTTACACTACAAAAGATATATGGTCAAAATGCGTCCAGATTCATAAGTGGTAGAAGTAAAGAAACACGTCTGACACATCCACTGTTTCAAGGGAAAAATTGTAAATTAGCTTCTTACTAGTGGTGAACCAACAATTAGTTACAGACACTCATACCGGGCTGATGCACGCGGTACTGGGGCCGGGAATATCAGGCAGTGGACTAAACCACTGTGAGAGAGAGGGTGGAAAAGGAATCTTTAAAACTAAAAGTGCTTTAATTACAGATTAATATAATACTTACAATTACACAGTTCGGTTAAAATAATATATTTTGGGGATAACTCTCATGAGGGGGGTTCCTGACCCCTCTGTCCCCTATGCCAACGAGCATTGTTCATGGATCAGCATCGTTTGCCCCGCCCACTAACATGGGCGCGTCCGAATTAACTGAAGGTTTTGTTTGCTGTGATCCATGAGGAGGGAGCGGTATGTACGAATTCTCAGCGTCGATGGAAAAGCAGGCAGACATATTCCTTTCTCCGAAATTCAGCAGTATATAACCGATGGCTACACTGTCCCATAAGGCCACGGGAGCTGCAGCCACAGAGGAGGATCGTCGCTTGCCAGAAATTTGTGTGAAGATGGAGGAGGAAGTGCCGACTCTGTACGAACGTCAGTAGAGAGCAATAGCCGGATCCTTACGTTCACTCGATCGAATATGTATTTTTTTCCCATTCAAAGTATTTAACAGTTTTTACATTTCGCGGGTATAAAGCTACGTCATCGGTAAACATATGGGTAAGGTTTTGTGCACGAACGTGACCCCAGTGTATCCCAGTGCATTGCTTCTGCTATCATGCATACAAACCAGCAGGCCTGAGTACTGGTGCGCTCGGGTCGCAAGCTTCTGACGAAATGCGGCATCTAGTATGTAAGTACTCTGTGTCGGACGCACTTCTTTTTATTTTAAACTGTTTAAAACTTTTTCGGGCTGCCTGAGCCACGGTATGGAAAATGATTCAAGACGATACTACACAAGTAAACTTCAGCGTTTGAATACGTTTTTTACTGCTTATTACAATACGATGGTTTTGTGATAAAGTAACAAAAATGTTTCCGTCCGAATTTCCAAAATTGAGATTGATTTTTATGAGCTGCGTTCGCTGCTCGCTTTGAAATTCTGAGAGCTATATTATGCTAGAGGCATGGGGGCAAGTTGTCTCACTAATTATTTGACATTTTAATGAGCAATTTAATATCCAGCATTTTATTCTTAAACACTAACAGATATGTAGAAGCTTACTAGTAAGCCATACTTAGGCTATCCCATATGGTCAATGTATAAAATCAATAGAACTTATATACATTTATTGGATAGTTTAAACTTATTGAAAACACATTAGAGAACACTGGAAACAATATTGTTTAATATTAATATACATATAATTTCATTAAAGACAGAGAAATTCTTAAACCTATTTCAGTTGAAGGCTATGTTAAAGCTAATTGGTCGATATGGCAATAATACATGTGGATGCTATGCTATTATGACTTGTGTGAATTGGATGAGTTATTCTATTGTAAATACGAACCAGTTTTACAGGTTACGGTAGGTTCTTTTAGAACAAAAACTAGCATAACGGTTTTTTCATATAATTGGTCAAAATTATAAAATATTCAGTTGCCTCAGAATGTCTTGTGAAAAGCAATCACGTGAATATGTCAGAAAAGGTGGATGTGATTTACTGTGACAGTATTTCTTACCAGTAACCTGCTGCTGTGTGACAATTTGCCCCTGTGACACTTAGTCCTCTCTTACTAGATACATAGACCATACAAAAGGACATTAACTGAACATAAGCTGTCTGCCTGGGCCCATTTCTTCAGCCATGGAAATAGCTTTAAAGGGACGGTCACAGTGATCTGGTTGGGGAAAGCAGGAAAGGCACCGTAGTCACGCATTTATTTTACAGAGAATTTTATATTGCGGCAGGTCCTTCCCTGGCGAAATAGTCTGAAGCGGAACTCCGATAGGAAGGTAATGCCTTGGGGGGAGAAAACGTATACATTGTGGGGAAAAATGTCAGGCTTTGGGTTGTACTGTAATCTCGCTACACTTTCATCTCCAAGATATTTGTCATTTTCTATTGTTCTTGACATGGACTTAGTGCCACTAGCAAAAACAAACACGCTTAACTGTATAAAATATGCTTTTACTAAAGTTACCGTTTATGTAACCAGCACATGACCTTCCTTTATGGTTACTTTGTGCGTGTTAAACATGTTTCAGTTATTCATTAATAAAATGTTTTGAAAATGGCAGAGCCTCTAGTGCTTTTTTTCCCCCTCCACAGACTGTCACAATGATGTCTATGTCAGCCATCCTGAGTGGTGTCACCGCTCACAAAATCAGCAAAACCATCACGTTTTTATTGAATGAATCGGTGGTGTTGAGTTGGCCACCACAGGGTGGCGCCAGACCCTTGCTGCTGCTGCTGCCCTGGCTGGGATCTCAGCCTCGGGGCTTGGCCAAATACTGTGACATATACCTGCGTAGCGGCTTTGATGTGCTCATCGTGGAGAGCCGGGTCAGCCAGTTCCTTTGGCCGAAATGGGGCCTTGACTATGGCATGAAGGTTCTGGAGGTGCTGCAGAGCGACAGGTTTGTGCGGCGCCCCCTACTGGTGCATGCTTTCTCAGTAGGGGGCTATACCTTCAGCCAGCTGCTGGTCCACATCTACAGAAATCCCCAGCAGTATGACGGCCTGATTCGCAGGCTCCGAGGGCAGGTTTACGACAGCCTGGTGATGGGTTCCCTGGATCGCATGGCCGTAGGTCAGTAGAGCCGCCTCACTCCACGGACCTGCACATCCGCAGTCTGGGTTGGATGACTCTTTATCAGAGTGTATATAACACCTGTCAAATGTTTAAGCTAAGTATGTAAAGCTTGGCACAGACATGCTTGCCTACGGTCAGACTACCAGCTTTAATGTCATTCAGTGAAATCCAGCATTTGCAAATGTGACAGCTTTTTGTGTTGTGGCTAATAATCTTGTCCTCTCTGTAGGTCTGGGGAGGAGTTTGCTTCCCCAGGGGGAGAACCTTGTGCGGGCGGCCAGCATGCTGTACTTTCGAGCTTTCAAGAGAGACACGGTGGACTACTTTAACATGAACATCGACATCTTCTGGCACCACCCCATTCAGGCACCTGCACTCTTCTTCTCCTGTGAGAATGACCCAATGTGTGACCATCTCAAGATGAAGGAGATGATTGAGGACTGGCAGAAGCGAGGCATGAGGGTGGACTGCAAGGCGTGGAAGGACTCCACCCATGCAGGACACCTGCGAGATCACCCTCAGCAGTACCTCTCCACGCTTCAGGAGTTCATACAGTCTCTCAGCATGGTTCCTCTCAAAGCCAAAATGTGATGACCAGCCTTTGTTTCCGGCTGAAAACAAACACTGTACATGTGTTTGTTTCCTTCAAGTAGTAACTGATAAGTGTAGGAGAAACAATATTAAAATGTTCTGTTTTGTCCTAAGGCACAGACTTTGTTTACACTCAATAAAGATACGATGGGTGGGGATTTCAGACTATTTTCTGAAGTGGATGTGGATACCTGGGTGTGAAAGGTTTGTTTGTTTGAATGGCGTATTGTATGTATGTATGATGGGGTCCTGTATTGTATAAGCAGTACATGCAGACCACTCAGACACACGCAGTTCTGTAGGTGTGACACCACAGTGCTTCCTACACATTTTTATCTATGGGCTACAGGTAAAGCTTTAAAACATTTACTACATGAAAAATGTCAATTGTAACATTACAACCACGAACTACAATTTATGGTATCATGATATCATTGATGTGATGTGTAAATGAGCGATAAACCCATCGCACAAATGTCACAACCATTGGTTTCAACAAAAGAACATTTACTGACGCACAGTAAACATTCAATAACTGCTAAAGGCTAAACTGTCATGTAGTTATTATAAACATAGAACAGGTGAGAGCGGGTGTGATTGTGGGAATGTAAGTTTGTGAATGAGATGGAAGGATGGAAACAGCAGTGCAGAGGGGAAAGGGCCTGCAGATCATTGGTGGATGGGGGCGGCACAGTGTCGACAGCTGGCAGCACGGGGGCGGCACTCTGTCGACAGCTGGCGGCACGTGGGTGGCACACTGTCGACAGCTGGCGGCACGTGGGGCGGCACACTGTCGACAGCTGGCGGCACGGGGGCGGCACACTGTCGACAGCTGGCGGCACGGGGGCGGCACACTGTCGACAGCTGGCGGCA